AGGAGCCAGCCTGAAAGCAAACAGTTACTCTTCTGTAATTCTTCCACTAGTTTTGCATACTTGATGTAGGCAGATTTTATCTAGCTTGTTTATACAGCATGGAGACAAGCTTCAGCAAATGATTTTGATTAACTAATATGCGTTCTCCCAAACACGTGGCAAAGTAAGTTGTGGCACTATTTCTTTTTTATTTATTTGTTTGTTTGTTTATAGAGATACAGTCTCATGATGTTGCCCAGGTCAGACTTGAACTCCTAGGCTTAAGTGGTCCTCCTGCCTCAGTCTCCCGAATAGCTGGGATTAGAGACATGGCCAACACCCAGCTTGGCACTATTTTTTAATAAGAAATTTTAGCAAGTTTATACCTCCTATTTAGCCTCTTCTTTAATGTAGAACATTGAGGATTTGCACAAGGAATATAGAAGAAATTATATTAATGTTATTTTGAAAAATAAAAAATAACATTTGTGCCTCTCACAAAGCTATGGGTTGCACTCTCAGTTTCATTAGTTCAACTACAGTTACACTCTCAACTTTGAATTTCTGGGTCTGGTCTTTTTCCAGAAGGAGTGCCTTCTGTAAAGAGCTAGGAGCCTCTTCTGTCTCCCATCTTTCCCTGCAATCACCTCCTCCCTCTCTCTGAATTACTGTTCTCCCTAGTCCCCACTTACTCCGTACACCACACCTAGACTAGTGATCACTTAGTAGGCACCAACCTGGGTTAGAGCTTTATGAAGATAGTGACTGCATTTTTCCACTTCCTTATTTTCAGTGCCTTATTTTCAGTCAAGTATTTGTTGGATGAATCAATGCAGGCATGCAAGAAATACTATCCTAGTTCCAACTGTGTGTGGACCATTACCAGGTGACTGGATATCAACTGTGATCCTTGTCAGTGCTTTTGTGGAGTTGCTAGTTATCTCCAACACCTCTTCTCCCCTTCATCCATAGTAACAGAAATTTTAGCTGGGCACTCCCTAGCTTCCCTTGCAGCCTGGATACGACCATGAAACCAGATTACGGGCCATGGGAATGAGCAAAAGTGAGGCGTGTAATTGTATGCAATGACCGGCCTTAAAGGGTAAAGGGGTGCACTTGCCCGCTTCCTGTGTGGGGGTGTGCATGGCGTGGTGAACCATGTGGGACTCCTTGAAGGAGGGCAACAATTTGGGGATAGATAATCCCTGGCCTCAGATGACTCCACAGGCCAGACCTGTCCTGCCAGCACATCTTTGACACGAGCACATGAAACAGAAATAGCTTCTACCTTGTGTAAGCCACTGTTATTTGGGGTCTCTGTGACACACAGCTGAGCCCACATCCTGACTAACACAAGGCGTGCACCGCCCAAGGTGTGGCCGCTCATCAGAAATGAGGAGCTTGCAGACATCTGTAGTCAGCCAGTGACAGCCGCTGGGGACTCACTGGGCCTACAACCCTCCCAGTAATATATGTAAAAAGCGACAACAGTCACTGCCTTAGATAGATCAAGACAAGATCCCTATACATTCATATCGTATGAATGTATAGAAAATAGAGGCCATCATTCTGGGGAATACTGTGACTGCATGAGCCTGACAAACTGGCTTGGTCGGGGCAAGGGACACAGACTGCAAATAACCTTGAAGTTAATGTTTTTAGTCTCCCCAAAGTAGGTTCTTATTTAGCTCACTTATTTCTGGCTCATTCTCTTATACTTTACCTATATCTGTCCTGTGCTAAAGAATCTCTTGATAAATGGTCACCAAGTGCCCTTCCTGATTAATTTTCTCCAAGAACATCATGTCCTTAATTCAACAGCCAAGGTCATCACTCCTCAAGATTCCTTTTTTTTTTTTGAGACGGAGTCTCGCTCTGTCACCCAGGCTGGAGTGCAGTGGCCGGATCTCGGCTCACTGCAAGCTCCGCCTCCCAGGTTTACGCCATTCTCCTGCCTCAGCCTCCCGAGTAGCTGGGACTACAGGCGCCCGCCACCTCGCCCGGCTAGTTTTTTTGTATTTTTAGTAGAGACGGGGTTTCACCGTGTCAGCCAGGATGGTCTCAATCTCCTGACCTCGTGATCCGCCCGCCTCGGCTTCACGAGGGATTGGGCTGGGATTACAGGCGTGAGCCACCACGCCCGGCCACTCCTCTAGATTCTTAACTCTCCAAAGCTAAGATTTAATACAAACCTGCTAGAAATAAGCTGAGTGATATCTACTGGGTTTCCAAACCTCAGAGCCTCAGCTTCCTCCTGTATGCACTGGAAAGGATGAACTAACGCCCTCCCAGATCTGACAGTCTAAGAGTCCAAATAGCTCTAGGGTGCCCTCATCGAATATATTGTCTTCATGCACTCTCTATAGTATACACTTTATACATTTCTTCTTCAACATATCTTGACAGTTATTTTTTCCTGCACTGTAAATTAGCATAGCCATAAAAATGAAAACGTGTACAATTTGAATATGATGAACCTGATCAGGAAAAAAAAGTACACATTAAAATTTGTGCAAAATAATCTATAAGCTTCTCTAGACAGCTCTCTGAAAAAGGTCCATTATAGGCCGGGTGTGGTGGCTCACACCTGTAATCCCAGCATTTGGGAGGCCGAGGCGGTTGGATCAACAAGGTCAGGAGTTCAAGACCAGCCTGGCCAAGAGGTGGAACCCCCCATCTCTACTAACGATTCCAAAAAATTAGCTCGGGCGTGGTGGTGCATGTCTGTAATCCAGCTGACCTCGGGAGGCTGAGGCAGAGATGGCTTGAACCCAGAGAAGCGAGTTGCAGTGAGCTGAAATCAGACACTGCACTCTAGCCTGGGCGGCAGAGCAAGACACATCTGAAAAAAAAAAAAAAAAAAAAAAAAAAAAAAAAAAGCCCATTATTCTCATGACTATTCGCTATGCGTTTTGTCCTCCCTCCAGCCAATTGCACGAGTTTTAGCAGAAGAATTTCAAAATCTGCTTTGTATCTCCTCTTTAGCCTCTTTCCTCCAATAATGAATTTGAAAGCAGCCATCCCCTTTCCCTACCCAAAAACTCTATAGACATCTGACCTATTGCAAATAACTCAGGTATA